GGCCCAGGCTGGGGATTCAAACCCACCACCTTAGGTGTACGTGGCTGGTGCCTTAGCCGGTTGAGCTATAGGCGCCGAGCCTAAAAAATAATTTTAAAAAGAGTCAAAATGACTATACTAATCTTTTAAATATGAGGATTATTCATTATGAATTTGTACCAACTAGACAAACAATTAAACAAGTTTACTATTTGGAAGTGCTGAAATGACTGCATGAAAAGTACGAAAACAACCTGAACTTTTCATTAACAAATCATGGGTCCTACATCACAACAATGCAATACCTCACACAGCACTGTCTGTGAGGGTGTTTTTACCCAGTAAACAAACAACTGCTTTGGAACCCCCTCCCTACTCCCCTGATCTGAACCCCAGTGGCTTTTTTATTTACTCAAAGATAAAGGAAATATTGAAAGGAAGACATTTTGATGATATTCAGGACATCAAGATTAATATGACAACAGCTCTGATAGCCCTTCCAGAAAAAGTTCCAAAATTGCTTTGAAGGGTGGACTAGGAGTGCTAGCATTGGTGCATAGCTTCCTAAGGGGAGCACTTTGAAGGCGACCATAGTGATATTCAGCAATACGGTTTCCAGCTTGCCAGCTTGCCCTGAAAATTTTGGATTTGCTAGCCTCCACATTGATGGCACCTATATCCCTGTTTTGCTTCCACAGAATGTGTTTTGCCCCATGCATGGTGTTTTCTTCCTAGGGTAGCAGCACTGCCCTGCCTCTGCCTGACTCAAGCTCACATAATAGAAATAACCAAAGAAAGGTGGAGACTTTACCTCCTTCATGTTTACATGGATGGAGCTGGAACATATTCTTCTTAGCAAAGTATCTCAAGAATGGAAGAAAAAGAAACCAATGTACTCAGCCCTACTATGAAACTAATCTATAGCTTTCATAGCCCAACTATAGTCCAAGAATATGGGGATGGGGGAGAAGGAGGGAAGGGGAGGGGGGAGGATGGGTGGAGGGAGGGTGATTGATGGGACCACACCTATGGTCCATCTTACAAGAGTACATGTAAATCTTTCTAAATGTAGAATATAAATGTCTTAACACAATAACTAAGAAAATGCCATGGGCTCGGTGCCTGTGGGTCAAACGGCTAAGGCGCCAGCCACATACACCTAAGGTGGTGGGTTCGAATCCAGCCCAGGCCTGGCAAACAACAATGATGGCTGCAACCAAAAAATAGCCGGGTGCTGTGGTGGGCGCCTGTGGTCCCAGCTACTTGGGAGGCGGAGGCAGGAGACTCGCTTGAGCCCAGGAGTTGGAGGTTGCTGTGAGCTATAATGCCACGGCACTCTACCCAGGGGGACAGCTTGAGGCTCTGTCTCAAAAAAAAAAAAAAAAAAAAGAAAGAAAGAAGATGCCATGAAGGCTATGTTAACCAGTTTGGTGAAAATATTTCAAATTGTATGTAAAACCAGCACACTGTACCTCATGACTGCATTAATGTACACAGTTATGATTTAATAAAAAAAAATAGAAACAACCAAGAATGGATGTTTGTACAACATGAACAGGACAACCTCTTATGTTGAAAACAGGATACACAAGTCAACCTATGCTCCTTTTTTTTTTTTTGCAGTTTTTGGCTGGGGCTGAGTTTGAACTCGCCACCTCTGGCATATGGGGCTGGCAGCCTACTCCTTTGAGCCACAGGCACCCCCCCCATGCTACTTTTAAATCAGTCTCCCTAGATCAGTGTTTTTCAACCTTTTTTTTTTTTTTAATCTCATGGTACAATTGAACCCATAGTCAAATTTCTTTCTTTTTTTTTTATTAAGTCAAATACACATAGATCATGAATACATTCATGCATGTGTGGGGTACAATGTGCTGATTTTTTTTATACAATCCCCATACTTCACATATTGCAGGGAGAGTTTGTGAAAACTTAGTTCAGTTTCTGCAGCACACTTAAATTATGTTGATCAAAAAAAGAGTGAAAAAGGAATATATTTACTGTGCTTTAAACTTCTTTTGAAAATAATTTAATGATTTTTAAAAATTTTCACAGCACACATTAACATCCTCTTATGGCACATCAGTGTGCTATGGCACACTGATTGAAAATCACCCTTTGTTCCAAGCTTAAGAAGCCAGCATTCCCTATCTTTCTCTAAAGACTGAGGCCAACAATCATTCTTTAAAAGTTAAGGAGAGGAGAAACGAGGTGGATGACAAAGAAGTGGATTTTAAAGAATAGGTATTTCCCCAAGCAGGATAAGTATAAACAAAAACACAGGGATCCTGAAGTCCGTATTCTGTTTTCCCACTTTGCTGCTAGCCTTGCCAATTTAGGGTTATATGCTGTTTTCCTATTCTCTATAATCTGACTGAAAGGGATATCAGTCTTCCTTCAAGACTCTCATTGATCTCCCAAAGCAAAACCTTAATTCTTATTTTGTTGAATATTGACAAATTGTAGCTATACATATTTATGGGCTACAACGTGATGCTATAATATATGGATATAATGTGAAATGGCTGAATCAAGCTAGTGAACACACCTGTTACCTCAAATCCTTATTATTTATTCCTCTGGTCTAACTGTAACATTGCATTCTTTGACCATCATTTGCTTGTTTTTCCCAACCCACAGCCTCCATTAACCACCATTCTGCTGTCTGCTTCTATGAGTTTGATTGTTTTTGATTCCACATGTGGTAAAAAATATAATCACTGAATAAACCTGCACTGAATAAAAAAAGAAATCAGCAGAGGAGGGAGTAAAATACAGATCTTCAATGTTCAGCTCTATCACCTGCCTCTGGGAAATGGTGGGAATAACAAGCTTTTCCAAAAGGTTCACATCATCATAGGGAAGTAATGATTCTACCAGGCTTTGAAAATAGAAAATAATGCATAACACTTGGTGGTACTGCTACTTTGACCTAGTCTATACTATATGTTGGGTACTACAAAAATTTTGAGACATTCTGTGTTAAGGTCCATTATTTCACTTCCAAGAAATACAGTCGACAGCATCCTTTATGATTCATCTGTGCTTCTTTCTTTATTTATTTCTTTCTTCCTTTTTTTTTTCTTTTGAGATAGAGTCTTGCTATGCCACCCTCGGTAGAGTGCCATGGCATCACAGCTCACAGCAACCTCAAACTCTTGGGCTTAAGTGATTCTCTTGCCTCAGCCTCCCAAGTAGCTGTATCTGTGCAGGTTTCAATGTGCTCAGTTTATTGTTGATGCTGGGAGGGCTTCATTTGTTTCCATCAACATGGATTTTATGTTTCTTGATTTTTGTGTATCTCAAAACTTTTGTAATGACCCATGTATTTGTCTTAGAAATTTTCTACTTTTAAATATTTACATTTCAGAATCCCAGGGAAATTTTGTAGTGTGCAACTACATTGTAATATGAATTTATCCTAAAACTCATATCAGAAAGCATTGTTCTATGCAATTTTTTTCTTCTTCTTTTTTTTTTTTTTTTTTTGAGACAGAGTCTTACTTGGTCACCCTGAGTAGAGGGCCGTGGTGTCTTTAGCTCACAGCAACCTCCAACTCTTGGGCTCAAGTGATTCTCTTGCCTCAGCCTCCCAAGTAGCTGGAACTACAGGTGTCCGCCACAATGCCTAGCTATTTTTAGAGATGGGGTCTCACTCTTGCTCAGGCTGGTCTCAAACCTGTAAGCTGAAGCAATCCACCCACCTCAGTTTCTCAGAATGCTAGGATTACAGGCATGATCCACCATGCCTGGCCACCAATACCTTTCTTTCTTTCTTTCTTTCTTTCTTTCTTTCTTTCTTTCTTTCTTTCTTTTTTTTTTTTTTTGAGACAGAGTGTCATTTTGTTGCCCTCAGTATAGTGCTATGGCATCTTTAGCTCACAGCAACCTCCAACTCTTGGGCTCCAGTGATTCTCTTGCTTCAGCCTCCCAAGTAGCTGGGACTACAGGCACCCCCCACAACACCTGGCTGTTTTTAGATATGGGGTCTCACTCTAGCTCAGGTTCATCTTGAACCTGTAGGCTCAACTAATCCACCCACCTCGGCCTCCCAGAGTGCTAGGATTACAAGTGTGAGCCACTGTGTTGGGCCTTGTTCTATATAATTTCTAATGCACAAAACAGTGAAGTTCCTTTAAATTACCTGAGAGTTTAATATTACTCTTTGAATTACAGTGTGGAAAATAAGGCTCAGAGTATCTTCAAAATATCTCTAAATGTCTTCCAGGGGACAGAGCTCTGTACTTGATGCTCCATCTGGCACTAAGAGGTTAACCAAGTTGTGCATACGTTTGCTGAAAATCAAAAAGATAAAACTTATCCCATAAAGAAATAAATCAGTGGTGTCATGGCAAAGATAAGTAAAATCTAAATCTTGTCCCTGACTAAAAACTTCAAAACACTTCTGTTCTTCCTTTGGTTTTATCTTTCCTCCAACTTCAGTAGACAGACTGTAAAACAGGTTGACCAATCCTTCCTTTTACAATGGCTAGGCTGTCTTTTATTCTTTTTCTAGTCTCCTGCACAAAGGAGTTGTGGCTGTTTATTTTATGAGTTGGTTCAGTGTGCAGGCACTTTAAAGCATTTTGTTACTTCCTCAAATGGGCAAGGGAATTGGGATTTAAATTTGGAACAATTTCACAATAACTGTCTCTCATGACTTAGAATAGGAAAACTATAATAAAGTTTTCCAGAGAAAAACCACACATCTATTTTCCCCCATATCTGAAATAAAAAAAACTCTAATAAATAATAATTTGTGTAGCACTTATTGATGCTTAATGAAAAGTGCTTAGGAAAAACTTGGAGGCAAATATAGCACATTTAACAGTTGTTAAATTTGGGTGGTAAATCCTGTAGTCCTAGCTACTTGGGAGGCTGAGGCAAGAGAATTATTTTAAATTCATAATCTTGGAAAATCTGGAAATTCATATCTTGCCTGGGCAACACAGCAAGACCTAGTCTTTAAAAAATAAAATAAAATAAAGTAAAATAAAATAAAATAAAATAAATTTTGGTGGTGGATACATTGGTGTTTGTTATATTGATTTCTATATTTTTTAATATATCTGAAATATTTAGTAATAAAACAAAGAAAGAAAGATACTTAGTAGTTTGATTATACAAACAGTATTTTGTTTTATACACATAAAAACAACTTTACATCTCTTTTTATTCTTTGGGAAAACCAGACTCCTTGATCTTGCTAAATAATTCTTAGTCTATAATACAACTCAATATGGAGCTGTTTACAAGGCTGTCCCCAAGATTATCCCCAGACAATCTTTTAAGTTGGGCTAGTTGAGTATGATTGATTACTTATGAGATATTGACTAAAGTTCTTTTGGCTATCAAAAAGCCTGGATTAGTGGATGAGGCAAGACAATAGTTTTAGCACAATAGTTTGAGGTTGCTGTGAGCTGTGATGCCATGGCACTCTACCAAGGGTGACGTAATGAGACTCTATCTCAAAAAAAAAAAAAAAAGGCTGGATCAGGTGCTGAATTACATTTACTAACCTGTATTTCAAAACATCAATTGATTTTTGTTTTTTGTGGAGCAATAAAGCCCTTTCGGGGCTTTGAGAGTGATGAAAGGATAGTATGTAGGTTTTTCCATTGCTAATGCTAGAGGAAGAGAAGAAAAAAGGTTGTGAACACCATAATCTCATCCATCACAGTTTTCATCAGGAAACTGGCCTGAAACAGGTGAACAAAAACAAACAAACAAACAAACAAAAATGAATTCTATAAATGATGAATCCACACATGCTTTTGGAGATATCTTCTATTTTCTGGGCAGAGTAGCAGGGTAGGATTACCAGCTTACATACTTTCTTCAGCAAATACTAATAGAAAACTTACTATTTTTATGACCTTGAACACAATCATACAGGTGAAGCAATAATTTTATAAATGAGAGTCAAGGAAGAGCACAGTATGAAGGAAGCAGAAAGCAGATCAGTAAAAGGGCTGTAATCAAAAACAGATTTATACAATGTATGAATGTACAATGTACTGTTTTTGTCTGACACTAAAAATAGGAAATACTTAATATGGGAGTGAGGATCAGCAATAACTAACTCTAAAACTTCCAGATGCACTGAATAGACCTGTAGAATTGAAGTTCCATTATACAAGGAGAAAGGGCCATCATAACATGTCCATAAAGTATACATCATCTGTTTCATGGCTCTAGAGAATTCTGTCTTGATGAGACCAAGGAAAGACAAATGTGACTCTTGTGCACTTGGGACTGAATACCCAATACCTTTAGTAACCACATATGTGCTCCTGAGGAAGATGAGAGATAAAAAGGAAAGATAATTTTCTAAAGTATATTCCCATAAAAGCTCTGAGCCCCAAATCCACTTAAAATTCAACCAGAAATTTGAGGGTAGCAGTTGTGTTAAAAAATATTACCAGTATTTCTCTGTACATTTCTATAAATTGCTAAGATTGCATCATCTTTGATTGGTAAAGTGCTCAATTATTTTTTTTTAGCTAGCAGAGAAAAACTTTATGAATTTTGAGCTCCCCCTATTGTATAGTTATGTATATTATAAATTTAAGCACCTATTATTAGCAATGCACTTCTCTAGGGTATAAGTACAAAAAAATAGGTAATTATTATTTATTACCCTAAGGAGATTATGATCTTATAGAGTAAAAAAATAAATGCACAGGGTGGCATCTGTGGCTCAAAAGAGTAGGGCGCTGGCCCCACATGCCGGAGGTGGTGGGTTAAAGCCCTGCCATGGCCAAAAACAAAACAAAACAAAACAAAACAAAACAAAACCAAAAAAATAAATGCACAAATGTTTGTAATATGAAAAAGTCTTAGAGAGGGAGAAACAAAGTACTATGAAGAAAAATTGTTTCTCACCTGGAAGTACAAAAGAAGAGTAAAGAAAAGAAAAAAAATCAGTAGGATGTAAATGGGCACCAGCCTTACAAAAGCATAAACATAGCTCTTACATGCGATTGTTTCAAATGTTTTACTTTTTTTTTTTTTTTTTGAGACAGAGCCTCAAGCTGTCACTCTGGGTAGAGTGCAGTGGCATCACAACTCACAGCAACCTCCAACTCCTGGGCTGAAGCGAGTCTCCTGCCTCTGCCTCCCAAGTAGCTGGGACCACAGGTGCCCGCCACAATGCCCAGCTATTTTTTGCTTGCAACTGTCATTGTTGTTTGGCAGGTCCGGGCTGGATTTGAACCCGCCAGCTCAGTTGTATGTGGCTGGCGCCTGAGCCAGTTGAGCCTCAGGCGCCGAGCCATAAATGTTTTACTTTCTAAATGAGTTAGCTCCCACACTGGTTCCAGGAAGCTGTCCAGTGATGGATCATTCAGTTTGGCTTTAACTTCAAACTCGTACAGCAGAAGCAATGTCTCACACAGATCATTTGAGAAGTCCCCTAAGGCAGAGGCAAAAATGCAATATTTTCTAAGATTACATTCCATTATTCTCTCTTGTTCTAATCTCTGTAATTAGAGAGGGTTTTCAGTTGAGGAAAGTTAATTTTACTTATAATTTTAAGGTCTTCCTAGCCTCTGTACACAGATTTTTAAAATATTTTTAAATCTTTAAGTTCACCACTACTATAAGCACCCTGTATGCATTCACTAGCATTACCTGTATTTTCTGAAACTATTGCCATTATGCTCTTAACTAGCCTGAAAAAGTCCTGTTGCTATTATTAAGATTCTACTTCAAATACAATGTTTACTTGCCTCTTGTGAACTTCCATCTTACCCATGCTCACCTGAATGCAGCACTGTATCTTCTAGCAAAGAAGTGCTGCTTCACTATCGGAAGAATCTTTCTTAGTGGCATGCACCACACTATGTGAGATAGTTTTCATTCATCCTTGATATATGGAACATTTTTTTTGTTGTTGTTGCAGTTTTGCCAGGGCTGGGTTCGAACCCACCACTCTTGGTATATAAGGCTGGCGCCCTACTCACTGACCCACAGGTGCTGCCTGGTATATTGAACATTTTAAAGTGTTTTAAGGTAAGGCATATACACAGTAAACTGAATGAAGTGCTCTAACCTTAAACAGTTTGATGAATTTTTAAGTATGTTTAAACTCATGTAATCACTATCTAGATCATGATAAAGAACATTTACAACAATTCATAAGGTTCCCTTGTGTTCCCTTCCATTCAATACCACCCTGCCAGAGGTAACAATTATTTTTACTTCTATTATTATCCATTGATGTTGATATTGCTTATTCTTGAACTTCACTGCTAGTACACAGAATATAATCAACTTTTGGGTATTAACCTTATCTCCTGTAACTTGATAAACTCATTAGTTCTAGTAATTTTTCTGTAGTTTTTTTTGATTTTCTATATATAAAATTATATCATCTGCAAATATACTTTTATTTCTTATTTTTCACTCTATATATCCTTTCTCCCCCATCTTTTTTTTTTTTCTTGCCTTATTGCATTGGCTAAGACATCTAGGATGATGTTTAACATGAAGGACGAAGCATTCAGTCTTTCATTATAAGTATGACATTAGTTGTAGATTTTATGTTTGTAGACACTCTATCAGGTTGAGAAACTTCCCTTCTATTCCTAGTTTGCAAAGTTTTCATCATAAACGGATTTTGAGTCTTGTCATATACTTTTTCTGTATCTATAGAGGTGACTTTATTTCTTCTTTAATCTGTTGATATGGTGAATTAATTGACTTGGTTATGATGTATTATCTTTTCATATGTTACTAAATTTGATTTGCTAGTATTTGTTGAGAATTTCTGCATCTGTTTTCATGAGGCATATTGGCCTACAGTTTTCTTATAATGTCTTTGTCTAATATTGGTATCAGGAAGATACTAGTCTCCTAAGACTAACTGGGAATTGTCACTTTATGCAAACTCTTCCTGATAGAGTTTGTATAAAATTGGTATTAGATCTTCCGTGAAGTTTGGTAGACTCCTTTAGTGGAGTTTTCTTTTTTTGAAAGATTTTAAAATATGAATTTAATTAATTTAATAGACATAGGACTATAGCTATTTCTTCTTGAGGGAGCCTTGGTATTTTGTAACTTTCAAGAACTGTGTACATTTTACCTAAGATTTTTAATTCATGGTCATAACATTGTTCATTACGTTCCCTTATTACCTTTTTTAATCTCTGTGGGATCTCTAGAGATAGCTTCACTTTCATTCCTGATACTATTAGTTTGTGTCTTATTTGCTTGGCTAGAGGTTTATCAATTATATTAATCTTCTCAAAAGAAATAAACACTCTTCACTCCTCAGTTTATTGAAGCACTATTCACAATGGCCAAGATTTGTGATAAATCTAATTCTTTACTAACAGATGAATGGATAAAGAAATTGTGGTACATATTACACATTGGAAAGTAAAATGAAATCGAATAAAATGGAATCAAATCCCATCATTTTGTAACAACATCGATGGAACTGTAGAACGCTATGTTAAGTGAAATAAGCCAAACACAGAAAGACAAATCTCACATGTTTTCACTCATATGAGGCAGCTAAATAATAAAACAATTGATTTTATGGAGACAGAAAGTACAATGATGGCTAACACAAGCTGGGAAGTGTAGTAGGGCTGGAGGGATACAGTGGGGATTGTTAACTATGTAAAAATATAGCTAAATAGACTGAATAAACAATATTTGACATTATAACAAAATGACTGTCATTAACAATCAGTTAAGGTACACTTTAAAATATCTAAAAGAGGGGGTGGAGCCAAGATGGCGAACTGCAGCCAGCTTTTTTAATTTTTATTTTTATTTTTATTTTTTTTTAATGAATGGTAACTGTGTACATTGATGCACCTTCGGGGTACAGCGTGGTGTTTTCACACACAATCCATGACATTTCCATCAAACTGGTCAACATAGCCTTCATGTAACCCTCTTAGTCATTATGGCAAAACATTCATATTCTACTCATAGAAAGATTCACTTGTACCCTTGCAAGATGAACCACAGAAGTGAACCCT